GTCGTCGTCGTCGTCGTGATCGTAGCGAAGGGTAGTTAGTAGTTGGAACACACACTAGAAGCCTGAGCACACCTTGTTTGACCGCAAGGAGACACATGGCAAAACCAGCCGCAGTGGACGCAGGACCGTTCCACAAAAAAGCCCATTGCTTTGTTGCGTTGTGTAGGATGTGTAATTTCTGATCTTCAGGGTTTAACTTATGTGCCAACATAGGATTTGCTGGGTAGGTTTGACTGGCTCGACTGCAGGGCTGTCCGATTCAATGCCAACTTTTCGGTGGCAGATACTTGACCGTTGTTCAACAATCCGCGGTGGGCTGCAGCCCCGCTACTTTCTAGTGTGATCTGGTTCTTTGGTTTGGTGGTGGATGTGTGTCCCAAGGAGAGGTCAGTCCATCACACCTAGGCCGTACACCCCTTTACCCAGTAAGAAACCTAAACCCTAAACCCTTAAACCATAAACCCTAAGCCCTAAACCCCTAAGCCCTAAACCAAACCCTGAAGCCCTAAACCCTTAACCCCTAAACCCTTAGTTGCATCTTCAGCTCCAAGCCCCAATCTGCACCCACACACTCTTGCCCTAACTCGAAACCCCTAGGGTTTAGGGTTTTGGGTTTTGGGTTTTGGGTTTAGGGTTTTGGGTTTTGGGTTTAGGGTTTAGGGTTTTGGGCGGCAGAATCCGTACACAACTCTTCTCGGACTGTTGCTCAGTAACACCTTTGTGAGCAGTAAACCTTATAACCTAAATCTAAAGACCTGAACCCTAAAGACTTCGTGTTTAGGGCTTGAGGCTTGTGTCCTTTACAGTGTTCGCATGTGCTCGCGACAAGGTTCTATACGGATTCTGTGGAGGCTCTATAAGGGGGCGTTTGGGGCTTTGGGGTTGAGGGTTTTAGGGTGTCAGGTTTCATGGTATAAAGCTTTAGCATTAGAGAGTTTGTGCTTCGGGCTTTTCTGTGTGTAGAGAGAGATCCTGTTGTCATGGGTCGTGCGCCCCCCGGGAAAGTCGCGGCATGGCCATCTTCGATGGCGGTTGCCCTTGCAGAGGAACGGATGCCCTCGAACGAACATGGAGCTGGACTTCTGCGGCAAACGCATGTCTTGGCTTCGTTCAGGCAAAATGCCTTGCTGAAGCGAAGGCTAACTGGCAGGACGCTGTCAAACAGACACAATTGATCAATATCGATGTTTTTCGCATTCGCCGCAATCCTTGCTGGATCTGCACAGGCCAGTGCCTTGCATACTGGCAAAAGGTTCTCAGTTTGCAAACGCAATCGCCAATCTTGCTATTGAAGCTAACATGGGACCTGCGGAATGCCTGCGTAAGGTCGGAATGGGCCACTGTAGGAGCAAACATCGGCTCGGCGTGCATCAACCCCTCTTTCACTGCGCAGGGCGCATGTTGCTCTTGCTGATGAATCGAAGGCTTATCAGTCAGTGGGTGCTCGAATGTGGTTGTTGGTGGCACGAACTTGCGTCTGACCTGCGTATCCTCATATACTGATATACTTATGGAAACTTCACGTGCCTGCCCTACGGCCCCACAGCAGTGGCAGGGAACGTGAATCTAGGCTCTGTTGCTTTAGTCCACTTTTGAGTTGGAGTAGTTTGCCTACCCAGTAAACGCGAGTCGCGAGACCTGCAATTCTGAACGGAATGGCGCGCTTGGAGAACAAAGATAACTCGTAGCGGGCTCCAAAAATGTGCGAGTTTCAGGACAAATGGAGCCCTGATGTACATCCCTAGCAGTAGTAGGAGTAGGATTATCAGTCCACTTCGTCAAAGAACCGACAAACCACCCTCAATGTTAACGCACTCTTGGGAGCCAGCCGGCAGCAATACATGTCTGGTATAGTGGTCCCAATAGCTCGATTATAGTTGCTATGCCCCCTAAACCCTAAACCCTAAACCGCCTTCCATTATTCTTCAATGGCCGAAAATCGACTCCTACGACAGGAGCGAGCTGACTGCAACTCTTGGCAAGACAGTGGGCAGTCATGGAACAGGCCGGGGTCCTTCGATGTACTTGTGCGATTGGCTGTTCGTTTTCATGGAGCCCCTAAATCCCTACTTGGAGGTTCATGGGTAGTTATAAGTGGGGTTATAAGTCCCCTAATATGGGTTATAACTATAGTTACCCCCACTTATAACTACCCATGAACTTCCAAGTAAGCGCAATATCATAAACCCTACAGCAGAACGAGTCCCCATATTTCGATGCACCGTAAACCGATTGCCCTTGCTTCCACCCCAAAACCCTGACATGTACTAAGACTCCGAGCCCGAAGCAGCAACACCCTGAAACCCCAACAATCCTAAAGCCCTTACACCCGAAGCCCCAAACTCTGGTCCCCAAATCCTAAGCCCTGAACCCTAAAACCCTAAACCCTAAACCCTAAACCCTAAACCCTAAACCCTAAAACCCTAAACCCTAAACCCTAAAAACCTTTAACCATCATCCAACCGGGCAGGTCCGACCCGTGGAAGCCAGCCTGGCAGTGAGTCGGCACCGCCGACCGACCCGTTTCCCACCGTACTTGGAGATTCATGTATGGGTTATAGGGTTCCCTTAAGGGTTCTATAGGGTTTCAGAAGAGGTTTAGGGTTTAGGGTAGCTATGAGTAGGGTTATAAGTCCCCTAATAAGGGTAGTGACCATAGTTACCCTACTTAGAACTCCACTTGTAAGTACCCCTGTACCTCCAAGTAGCACATGTCATGTGTTTGAGGGGGTACAGTTTGCAAACAAGTGCGATATAAAGGTGTGCTGAATGTCTGTAAGAAGCTTATATGCGGATGACATGAATGTCCTGTTAGTTGATGGGTTAGACGGCCTTCCTAGATACAGTACTCGTATGGAGAGTGTGAAACTGACACAGGGGCTTTGCTGACCTTATGTAGAGCTTCTTGCGAAGATTCGTGAGTGCAGATGCTGCTTCCAAGGGGCCCTAAACCCTAAACCCTAAACCCTAAACCCTAGACCCTTTCAGGTGTCGCTGTGGTGCAGATCCTGCTGACATACTAGGAGTTCCCTTGTCTCATCATAGTGTGCCATGCCCCAAATCTCTGATTCCAACAGTTTAGGCCCCTGTAATACCTGGTGAGTTAGGGTTTAGGGTTTAGGGTTTAGGGTAGGCCCCTGTAATACCTAGAGCTTCTCGGCTTACATGGGAGGCCTTGGGAGGGGTTCTCGCACAATGTGCCTGAGAAAGTAAAGCACACTGGCACGACGGCAGTAGGCAGTATTACACCGGAGGAGGTAGTGACAAGTAGTTACAGTAGTGCACATGCATTTTTGTCGAGAAGTGCTGGATCCTAAACCTGAGGCCCTGAGAACTAAACCCTAATGGGGGGTTTGGGCCCTTGCCCTTTCAGTGCTTGTTCAGATCTGCAGTCCCCTACTCAAGTGATTCAAAAGAGAAGGAATATGACAACTGCAGGAAATACAACACCAGAGGGTGGCGATCATACAGCCTTACAACCTCCATCAAGTGGGGGTTTCCGAATATAGGGGACCCTAATATAGTACCCTAAATAATAGGATCCCTATGATAAGGACCCCAAAATACAGTACCCTAATTTTCTGAAACTCCCAAGTCTGTCTTCGGACTTAGGGTGCAATGGTTTTCACAACTTTAGACTGCCTCCACGGCGGAGGCCTTAACTCGAAACTATCTTTAAAATTCTTGGGGCTCGGACGGTTTAGGGTTTAGG